GAAATAAGTCAATCAGAGAAAGACATGTATCATATGACCTCACTGATATGAGGAATTCTTAGTCTCAGGAAACAAACTGAGGGTTGCTGGAGTGGTGGGGGGTGGGAGGGATGGGGTGGCTGGGTGATAGACAGTGGGGAGGGTATGTGCTATGGTGAGCGCTGTGAATTGTGCAAGACTGTTGAATCACAGATCTGTACTTCTGAAACAAATAATGCAACATATGTTAAGAAAAAAGAAAAAGAAGAAGACAGCAGGAGGGGAAGAATGAAGGGGAGTAAGTCGGAGGGGGAGACGAACCATGAGAGACGATGGACTCTGAAAAACAAACTGAGGGTTCTAGAGGGGAGGAGGGTGGGGGGATGGGTTAGCCTGGTGAGGGGTATTAAAGAGGGCACATTCTGCGTGGAGCACTGGGTGTTATGCACAAACAATGAATCATGGAACACTACATCAAGAACTAATGATGTAATGTATGGTGATTAACATAACAATAAAAAATTTTAAAAAAATACTGGTGCAACAACTACTCTTAAGGATCTCGATATTATCTTTTATATTCTTCTAAGTATGTAGCATGAGACAAGGCCTGATACATAATACAATGTAAAACAGTATGTGTTGCAGGGCAAAGTTGGTTTGAACACTTAGCCTGTGATTTAAGATCCCCCAGGGAAGCAACTGTTCTACCCCAAATGACAATAATTTATGTATCTAATGCTCTCAAGGAAAAAAAGAAGTATCATTATTGTTTTGCAATTAGTTAAAAACACTTTAAAATGAAGTATATTATTACAACAGTGGGGGTAGAAACAGAACAAATCAGTCTACTAATTGCCTACATTTGATTCTTCTTGATTCCAGTTATATTCCTATTTGACTCTGTCTGTGACACTGGTGAGTGGATGATTATGTCATCTACAAAAGAAGAAAATGGCCTCAGTGCACAAGAAATCTCTCAAGGGCTTTTAAAAATTTCAACAGCTGAATCCTTCCTGCCTTATGCCTACACTCATTGCAAAAGCATCACAACTGGTCACCTGGCCACCAGGCCCTCTCCAGGCCATCACTTCCACCACATGAGCTGTTGGAGTGACATTTTTTTTTTAAGTCCCAAACTGACTGTGTTGCCTCACTACTTGGAAACCTTCCCAGGAATCCGTCTAGCTGGATCACGTGGCCTTTATTTCCACTCGGCGCCCTTCATATGGTTTTACTGCATGTCCATCTTCCCAGCCTAGTTTTCCAAAAGGCAGCACTCAAATCCTGTGACTCTTTTAATTCAGGGCTGGGCAAACTGTCTGTCATACAGCAGGCAATTAAAGAAGCTGAAGGAAGGAATAAGAACTCAACTTAGGGACTGTCTTAGCTTCAAAGGAAGGGAAATGAAATTAAGTTTTATTTTATAAATAAATATGTTAACATCCAGAAGGTGTCAGAGTCATTTGGTGAGTAGGTTGATTCACTCTAAGCACTTGTACTATTGACTGGGCATTGATGACAAAAAAAATCAGCAAGCACTATAATGTTTTTAAGTGTTATTGATGATTCAATACTACAAAATATTTCTCCGTCAATCACAAAACTAATTTAACTGTCAGCCACACAGGGCCAGATGTCAAAAACATGTGTTAAAAGGCCCTAATATGCCATGATCTACTTGATTAACAACTAACTTGCAGAAATTCCAACAATGTGTTCTTGTTTTAGTCTTATTTGCATTGGCAAGTGTTTCTTGTGCACTCATCTGGCTCTGCACAGGTCTAATCTATTTGTGCTTTATCACTGAGCAGGAACTGAATTACAGCGGCCTCCAGCTCTGCTATCTGCCTTTCTCAACTGCTTATCTGCTATGTGGCTACAGCAAGGCTTGGCGAGACCAGCTTTATAAATACTGTGGGTTCTGTCTCTTGAGCTTCTGTGTGTCAATCCTAGAACTAAGTCATACTCAATCTTAACTTGCTATGTGGCATTATTTTTTGCACTGTGAATAAGTATATAAATTCTTAGAAACTAAAAGGAATAACACACTCCCCAGAAGGTCATAATTCAAGTAGAATGGTGAATAGTGCCTAATAGGTTCTATTCATCAGCCAAATGACAGCAAATAATTAGATGTTCTTATGAGTCCATGATTTTTAATCATTTTATTTTTTGTACCATATCTTTTTCCAGGGGATCTGTTCAATTAAATGTGATAAAACTGGAACTTGTGAGGGAACGGCCATTAAAAGGCGATTGGGATGCTGTCAAAAGTACAATTATCAGAAGGTTTGAGTTTCAGTCCCATTCCATCACCCGTGAGCTGAGTGGCCTTAGGATAGTCCAGGGGAGGCAACAAAGTCGCAACATAGGGCCAACTTAGACAAATTAGAAGTGGCTTCCTGGAGCACTGGGTTGAGAAGTTAGCATGCACCATGGTCTATCCATGACATCCACGTAGCACACAGAAATGGGGAATAGTGCTGCATCTGTCCAAAATTTTCATTTCTGGGCAAGTCATTTCACCTCACTAAGGCCATTTCCCATCTTTAAAATGGAAGAGCATAGGTTTGGTGTTTCTCAAAGTATGGTCATTTAATCACTTTCATCAGAATCACTGGGCATACTTTTAAAAATCACAGGTTCCTTGGCCCCACAGCAAAGCAACTGATTCAGCATCACTAGGAAATGGCACCCAGATGTTTGTATTTTAAGAAGCTCCCTAGATTATAAGATTATTTGGATACACACAAAAGTTTGATACTGGAGTAAATACTTAAAAGCAATCTATTATTCTTTGTCCCATGATGAAGAACCTTGCCGGTTCCTATCCAATGTTTCTGTCTGTGCTTTTCAAATACACTAACATTCTGATTTTGTCACCTTTTGAAAATTCCCTTCAAACAAATTGATCTGTGTTTACTTTTATTCTTCATTACTATGAAAGGCTAAAAGTCAGATGCAAATAAGGTTTGAAAACTAACAGCTCATAGGCCAAAGCTGGCCTACCTCACATTTGGCTTGAGCATAATACTTTAAAACCTGAACTTGAATGGTTTGAGGTAGGTCAAGGATTCTGCAGCTTGCCACAGTTGCCAGCAGTCCCTACTGCCTCACACCAAACCCACTTCCCTCATTTTTGTTCTCTGCCTGGCTCTTCAAGATATCTAACTACTCAACTCCTCATCTATTGCCTAATTCAGATTCCATGTGCCTGAGATTGTGGATCAGCAAACTGAATAATTATTATCAAGGTAGTTCCAAAGAGAATGGAACTTAGAGGTCAGCTAATTTAAATGGCATTTTGAAAATAATGTACTAAGAGAAGAGGCTTGCCCCACGTGATGCAACTCTCAAGTGGTGGCATGAGTATGAGGGGGGGCAGACTCCCACAGACCTCAACCTTCCTTCACAGTCATCCCCTCATTCTCAAAGGAAGTGCTTAAATAAAAGGAACAGCTTCAGATTTGGGGATTGTTTGGGGATTTAAACTAGAATAAATCAAATCTTAATAGGGCCAGGGGAAAAAAAATGATAAAATCCTGCCAAGAATCCATGACATGGAAAAATTATATGGTATATGTTTACTTCTGTAAAGTTGCAGAAAGAAATTGAGAGGTAGTAATGGAATGACATCATATCACTCAAAAACTGCAAACAGGATACATACTAATTAATAGTTTTTGAACCAACATTCCCTCATTCAAATTTTTACAAACAAAATTACTACATAGAGTTTTGGTAATAAATTCTTAAAAATTTAAAAAAAAGAGTATTTTCCCTGAAGAATCATCTTATTTATTCTTTTATGTTTTCAAGTAAAATCTTGTATCTTTATAATTTAATATTAAAGTTATAATGTTATAATTTCTATCTAGCCATAGAATTACAGCTCTTCCTTTTAGCATCTCTATTTTCTTATGTAGTGCAATGGTTCTCAGACTAGAGTAAACATCACAATGACTGGATGTTCACTCTAGGAACTTGCTAAAGTGCAGAATCCCAAGCCCTCTCAAAGTTCTGATTTACTAGGTATAGATGGTGCCTAATAATTCAGATTTTCAACAGGCACCTCCTGGTGATTCTGGCGTAGAAGTCAAAGAAGGCTTCTTTAAGATACATTGCTTAAAAAAAAAAAAATCTGTGGGCCATTTAATCTAATGCCTTCCATTCCACAAATCTGAGGTTCTGGGAAAGAGAGTTACTTGCCAAGGTCATCCAGTTAGTGGCAGGGCTGGGACTAGCTCCTTCCTCAGTCTCCTTCCACTTGACTTCATTACTACAGTTTATAGACTATGATAATGGGGAATACAGGAGACAGGCAGTCTAGCTCCCAAGTCCACATCCTTGACTACTGTGTAATGCAGCTTCTCAGGAAGCCGAACTCCCAGAAGAAGAGGAATTAAATCTGCAGAAAGTAAAGAACATTCTAGGCTAGGTAACAGTGTGTGCAAAGGGTCTGAGAAAGGAGGGAGCATGGCAGACTTGAAGATCTAGGCCAGCATAGCTAGAATACAGAGAATGAGGGAAGAGAGATGGGGGATGAGGCTGGGCAAGAAGGAAGGAAAGAAAAAAGAGGAAGGTAGAGGAAGGGAGGGAGGGAAGAAGAACAGGAAGGAGAAAGGGAAAGAGGGTGAGAGGATGGGAAGGAAAGAGGAGTAAAAAAGCAGGCAGAGAGGCAGCTGACCGGATGCAAGCCAGACCGGATGAAGGGGTGGAATGTGTGTGCCAGGTTAAGGATTTCAATTTTTATCATCCTAAGAACAGTAACAAGCTAGTGAAGGTTTTTAAGCAGGGCGAAATGTGATGTGATCAGGTGTGCATTTCAAGGCTCTCCTGGCTTATTTAATGTGCCAAGTATACTGAGGAGGGCTAACATGGGAGTGGGCGGTCCAGCTGGAACAGAGGGTAGTGTGAGCACATGGAGAAAAGCGGGCATATTTAAATGCATTTAGATCATCTCCTCCTCACCATGCTTCCCCAAATCCTGACACCCCCATTTTTCAGCCCAAGCTCACCTTTTCTGACAAAGCCTCTTCGAGTGTTGCTAGCGCAGTATCCGTATTACTGGAATCCGTCTGCAAGGACTTTACTCTGTCTTTCAGATTGGTTAGTTGTTTGTCTTTATCTCTAAGCTGTTCTTGCAAGTTTTCAATCTGAAAATAAAGATCACCATATTTAATGCATATCTTATTACAGATCCAAGGCCAAGATTCCTGAAGTGGACATGTTTTTAAAAAATAGACCCCAGGCTAAGGACATTGTCAGCATTGAGGTTACACTGACTTAGAATCAAGGCCATTTTGATAAGACCTCATCTTTCCCTGTAATTCAACTTTGTATTTAAATGGAGGTAGTCTGCTCAATAGAGATGAGCAGACTACCTCCTTCCATACTGATGGAAGCCCTTCAGACATGTAAGCATTGCTACTTCTACCTATTTCTGTCCTTCCAACCAGATTAGTCCACAATCTAATCTTCGTACAGTGAATCAGAGAAATGCATATGCAGGATTTTTTCATTCAATGAAAAGACATGTGTTGGGTGCCCATTCTGCATTAAGCACCATATCAATATATGGCAGAACCTATGTAGTCATTCACTCACTCCTTTATTCCGTATTAAACTTCGTGATATGCCAAATGTTGTCAAGTGGCTGTTTCAAAGTAACCACATGAAAAGCCAAGTAGGTTATCATCAGTAGACTGTTAATGGGAAGAACTTGTGATATAAATCAAATGTAACAAGTACTAAACACTCCATTTGGCAACTAAGTCATGTGCTGGCAACCAACCAGCCACTTTTATCCACTATCTGCAGCCTGAAATAAACACGCCAAAAAGCTGATTATAACGCCTGCCCATGAGCAGCAGCAAGGACCTTTCCCGGGCATTGCATAAATTATCATTCATGTTTTTATTCTCTGCTTTCAAACCATGTATTTCTTATCTCAGGATTAAAAAAAGCCCACTGTACAAACAATTTATTCATATTAAGGGTTTTAAAGTGACAAGTAAAAAAAGCAGTACAACTCTAAGATAAGTCCATTCAAAATATTTGTATTCTGCACCCAGGCTTTCGCAGGAAATCATTCCAAATGCATGTTTAACAATGTGTGACTTAAACAAATTTTTGGATTATTTGATTCATTTAGCATAAATCTGGAATGCAACACAAATAATGACAGCAGTCAAAGCAACAACGAGAGGAGAAGAGGGTGACAGTGGAGGTGACAGTGGTAACAGCAGGAAAATAGCTCTGAATGCAAAAACAAAGACCCTGCTGACCCTCGACTGGCAGGACATGGGACTTGGCTAATTTTTCCAATGGCTACAAGGGATTTGAACTAATAGAGATGGACTTTCTCCCTTTCCTTCCTTCCTTCCTTCTTTCCTTCCTTCCTTCCTTCCTTCCTTCCTTCCTTCCTTCCTTCCTTCTCCCTTCCTTCTTCCTTCTTTCCTTTCTTTTTCCCACCAATGCCTCTTTTTAATAAGACATGTTTTCTGCCTTGAGACAGACATCCTGGAACTCAAGTTATAGTCAAATAATTAGGCTTCTCCTTCATCAAAAATGCAGTGTATTCCTGCCCACCTACCACTGTGAGAATTCACTGTACCTCCATGGAAAACACAGGAATTCAAAAGGCATAATCATCTGCAGTCAAAACAAAGGTTTTCTCCATTCCAGACAAGTGTTCCTGTGGTTACACAACACCATAAATAAATAGATGGCTGAACAAGAATATGGATGGTTACATATCAGAATGATACTCATTATATAAAAGAAGCCAACAGCTGAGAGGACTGAGAGAGCACACAAGAGAGTGTGTGCTATTGTGAGTATACCCACACCCATGGATACATATGTGTACACGAATATGTGTAAATCCCTGGTGGTTCCAAGCAAACTGATTAGGCCTCCCTGTCACCCTGGGAGACAGTGCCCTGGACAGGACAGAGGATACGTTCTCTCAGGGCATCAGCCCTGGGGCAGTGATAGGAACTGATTTCAAGGGACTTTGGGCACTGGAAACAGAGGCTAAAGAAGACTGACCAGGAGCCTGTGAGAGACTCCTTGGGGCCTCCCCAAATCACCGAGAGGACTGAAGAAGTTTAGGGCCAGGGTTCTACCAGTATGCAGGTAATATAACACTTGGTATTTTCTGGTTTTCTGATAGTTGCCATCCTAATGGGTATGAGATGGTGTTCCCTTATAGTTTTGATTTTAATTTCCCTCATGACTAATGATGTTGAGTGATCTTTTCATGTGCTTACTAGCCATCTGTATATCTTCTTTTCTTTTCTTTTCTTTTCTTGTTATGTTAATAACCACCCCAAAACTGCTAGAACTCATACAGGAATTCAGTAAAGTGGCAGGATATAAAATCAATGCACAGAAATCAGTGGCATTCCCATACACCAATAACAAGACAGAAGAAAGAGAAATTAAGGAGTTGATCCCATTTACAACTGCACCCAAAACCATAAGATACCTAAGAATAAATCTAACCAAAGAGGCAAAGAATCCGTACTCAGAAAACTATTAAAATACTCATGAAAGAAACTGAGAAAGACACAAAGAAATGGAAAAACGTTCCATGCTCATGGATTGGAAGAACAAATATTGTGAAGATGTCAATGCTACCTAGAGCAATCTACACATTTAATGCAATCCCTATCAAAATACCATCCACTTTTTTCAAAGAAATGGAACAAATAATCCTAAAATTTGTATGGAACCAGAAAAGACCCTGAATAGACAGAGGAATATTGAAAAAGAAAAACAAAGCTGGTAGCATCACAATTCCAGACTTCAAGCTCTATTACAAAGCTGTAATCATCTGTATATCTTCTTGAGAGAAAGGCCTATTCAAGCCATTTGCCCATTTTTGAATCACATTGTTTGATTTGTTGTTGTTGTTGAGCTTTAGGAATTCTTTATATATTCTGCATATTAATTGCTTGTCACATACAATTTATAAATATTTTCTACAATTCTGTGGCTTGCCTTTTTACTCTGCTGATACTCTTTTGATGTGTAAATTCCCCCATTAATACTGCTTTCTCTACATTCCATAAGTTTTGGTACATTTCACTTCTTTTGTTTTCATTCACCTTTAAGTATTTTTTCATTTCTTTTGTGATTTGTTTTGATCCATTCATTTTTTAAAAGTGTGTCGTTTAATTTCCATAAATTTGCAAAATTTCCAGTTTTTCTGTTACTTATTTCTAACTTCATCCTTTTGTGGTTAGAGAAGATACTTTCTATGATATCCATCTTTTTTTTTTTAAGATTTTATTTATTTGACAGAGAGAGACACAGTGAGAGAGGGAACACAAGCAGGGGGAGTAGGAGAGGAAGAAGCAGGCTTCCCCGCGGAGCAGGGAGCCCAATGTGGGGCTCGATCCCAGGACCCTGGGATCATGACCTGAGCTGAAGGCAGACACTTAATGACTGAGCCACCCAGGCGCCCCTCTATGATATCCATCTTTTAAAATCTATTGAGACATAATGTGTGGGTTATCATATGGTCTAGCCTGGGGAATGTTCCATGTGCACTTAAGAAGAATGCACATGCTCTTATTGTTGGATAGAGTGTTCTGAATATGTCTGTTAGATCTTATTGATTTATTTTGTTGTTTAAATCCTCTATTGCCCTACTTATCTTCTCTCTGATTATTTTATCACTGAGAGTGGAGTGCAGACATATCCAACTATTATTGCAAAACTATCTGATTCCTCTTTCAGTTCTGTCAGTTTTTGCTTCACATATTTTGATGGTATGGCATTACGTTCATAAATGCCTGTAATTGTCATATCTTCTAGTATTGAAACTTTCATTAATTTGTAAGGCCTTTATTTGTCTATTGTAAACTTTTCTGACTTAAAGTCTGTTTTGTCTCTTTCGGTTATTCCTTGCATTGAACGTATTTCTCCATCCTTTCACTTTCAATCTATTTGTGTCTTTGGATCTAAAGTGAATCTCTTATAAATAGCGTATAGTTGGATCATGGTGCGGGTGGTGGGGAGGGGTTGTTTGTTTTCTTGTTCTTAGTGCACTCTGCCAATCTCTGTCTTCAATTAGAGTTTAATCCATTTACATTTAAAGTAATTACTGAAAAGGAGAAACTTATATCTGTCATTTTGCTATTTATTTCTGTATACCTTATAATGTTTTTGTTCCTCATTTCCTGTGTTACTATCTTCTTTTGTACTTAGTTGATTTTTTGTAGTGAAATGATTAAATTCTATATTCATTTTTTGTGTGTGTGTATATTCTACAGCTATTTTCTTTGTGGTTAACATGGGGATTACTTGTAACATCCTAAATTTGTAACACTTAATTTTAACACTTTGAATTTATACCAGCTTAGCTTCAATAACATACAAAAATTCTGCTCTTTTACAGCTCCATCTCCACTCCTTTCGGTTGCTGATGTCATAAAATTCTATCTTTATACACTGTGAGTTCCCAAACACAAGTAATAATTCTTTTAAATGCATTAGCCTCTTACCTAATGTAGAAAATGAAACATGGAGTTACAAACCAAAGTTACAATAATACTAGTTTTTAGACTAATAATTTTTGTAAATATATTAGTCTCTTAGGTCATGTAGAAAACAGAAAATGGAATTACAAACCATTATTACAATAATACTAGCTTTTATAATTGCCTGCATACTTACCTTTATTGAACTATTTATTTCTTCACATGGCTTTGGGTTACCATCTAGTGTCTTTTCATTTCACCCTACATGACTCCTTTAAGCATTTCTTGTAGCACATCTCTAGTGGTAACAAACTTCTAAGCTTTTTTTATCTGGGATTATCTTAATTTTTCCCTCACTCTTTTGTTTTTTTATTTAAATTCAATTTAGTGTAATAATACATATAGTGTATTATTAGTTTCAGGGGTAGAATTTAGTGATTCATCAGTTGCATATAACATCCAGTGCTCACTACATCAAGTGCCCTCCTTAATGCCCATCACCTAATTACCCCATCACCCCAAACAACCCCCTCCAGATACCTTCAGTTTGTTTCCTATAGGTAAGAGCCTTTTATGGTTTGCCTTCCTCTTGAATAGTTTTGCTGGATATAGCGTTCTTGGTTGACAGAAGTTTCTGTTTTTGTTTTTTCTTTTAGCACTTTGAT